AGGTACCAAGACAATTTCACAAGAAGGCACTCGAATGAGGCGGCACCCCTCCATAGGGCCTTTTCCTCGCAAGGGGAAAGAGAACCTTTGCTAAGACCGGAACGGCAGCTACCGTTCAATCCACACTTTTTCAGGTTGGTAAGTTGCAATAAAGGAAAACCCGAACCAAACCAAAAAATTTCTTCGATAAAATGATTTAGGCTCTGGTGTAAGTAGGAAGCTCAGACCGCCTGAGAGGAAGAAAATWCCTCTTAAATTATTTCCGYCATCTAACAAAATCTCCTCAAGTCGTTCTTRGTATTGCCCAAGTCARGGTTTAATTATAATATAGTATATTATAATATATATAATAGCTAAMTAGTTTTTGAATGTGTCATGWTTTMTGTGKAGATYTTCTATTTCTTTACWCATTTCATTTATSCACTTTKCCWTTGCTTCTTTKATTTTTGTGTTGATGGTKCTTTSGATTTCTTTGTATAACTGCGCATTGTTTTTGTGTTTTCTKCTSTCTTCCATAAGCTCCAAAATRTCTTCCGTCATCCATRTGTTTTCCGTTTCTTACTGTCCTCACTCTTTAGTTCTTCTCTTGGAAATTGTAAGTTACTGCAAACTAATTTTCACTTATTGTGCACAAACAAATTTAAGCAAAATTAATTAAAGCATAATTTTGTACAAAACAATCAAACTTCAGTGGGCCGCGAAGCTTAWCTGTTGGTGTGCATTTTTTGTCAGAATWGTATTGTTGATGCCCGATTCCACAMGCCAGCAGATAATAATATAATACTGAATTTACAGAGCGAAATCAGATAGTGCCTTGTTGTGTGATGATACTCCTTCACAACTGTGCCATGTGATGCACAAGGAACCGTGTGCAACTTCAATGCCAACAACAAATTTGGCTCTTTTGGTAGCTTTATCAATACACAGTGTTCTCGAAGGACTTGTGGTGGGTCTCGAACGGATGCCTTCCAAGGTAAATTTCAACATATATTTTCCTTTCGTTTTAATTATTTCTGTTACAGGTTTTGCTGCTTCTTGGAGCAGTCGCCTCACATAAACTTGTAGTAGGTTTCTGTCTAGGAGTTGAGCTCGCTTCCAATGAATATGTTACATTTTGCAAACACTTTATTTGCATTTTCGTGTTTTCTGTGTCTTCAGTAGCGGGCATTTTAATCGGAATGTTAATTTTCAACGTACCAACTGACGTCACTGACATAGCAATTCCAATCTTGCAAGTATATAAAGCAACACATCGTCAAGTTAATAAATTTGCTATTGGCTTCATTTCTGACTATAGGCTCTGGCTGGCGGAACTCTTCTGTATGTAACAGTGTGTGAAGTTCTTCCAAGAGAACGAGCCAGGTGGCATCAGAAGAATTTAAAAAAGTCAGCAGGAGTGGCACAACTATTGTCTGTGTCTGTGGGATTTGCGTTAATGGCATTGCTCAGCAACTACCTAGGTACGTTTTATTTTTGTAAAGTTTCCTAAACTTTCCTTGTTTTTATTTAATTATTAATATTTTAAGCAACTGACGCTCAACTGCATACACGGATAAACATTGCGAGATCCCACAATGGTTAATTTATTTTTTAACGTTTTTATAAGGAATAATAGTAATAATATATACTTGTAGATTTTCATCGATCTGATCAACATATAAAATATCGACTTTAGGATGGAAACGCTTTCCATTAAAATCCTAACGGACTTCAACAGTGGGTTTAAAAACCTTTAGAACATTGAATTTTACAAATTACCAGTTGGAATAAAAAAATTATTTCTATATGTATCTACTGCGTATCCGTCCGTAACATGCACGTTCATACTCTTCGGTCACATGATCTGCCTCAACAGCATTCCACGGTTATATTCCGACTTATGAAATTGGCCGACTTATAAAAAAAACAATTCTGTGTCTCGAATGGTTCTTGAGAAACATCGAAAAAAGCAGCGTCATGTTCAAGTGGATTTTTCAACTAAAAAAAACCACGCAAATCTAAAACTTGTTGAATTCAAGCATTTTTTGAGAAAACTGCCAACATTTCCTTATCGATGGTTCACTTTCTAAAAAGGCCATTTATTTCTGTCTAGAATGATGTAC